AAAATCAACCTCAATGATTTTTTATTATATAAAAAATAAGTAAATAAATTACGTATTACCTAATTTTTTTCCCTTTTTAAAAAAATACATAGGCCATACACACCAAATCCCTGTGCGTAAGCCTCTAATGCAGAGCAATTATTACTTCTTTTTTCACTTCTTATTTTTATTACAATTTAATTAATTTTATAATCATTTTTTTCCAAAACTTTAGAACAAGTTATTTGCAATACACTTTAAAATTTTAGATTAAATATATATATATATTTAAAATAATACTACTCTCATTTAAAAATTATAAGAATCTATCCAATAAATTATATTGTTTTATTATTAAAAAAAAGAAAATAATCATCTTCAAAAAATTTCGATTCTAAAATCCAAACACAAAGATATTAAAAGTAAATCATATTTGTTAAAAAATAAAATTTATTTAAATGGATAAAGAAAAAAATAATTTTAAATAATAAAAGTAATTTAATTTGAAATATATGCTGTGTAGAATCTAAAAATATATCATAAATATTTATCTCTTGCAAGATCATGTGAAAAATAACCAAAGATAATGAATAGCTTTCCATAACTTTAGCAACACGTTGAACAATAAATTTTAGTGTATATCTAATTTCATATATTCTATCATTACAAGGAGTCTAAAACTAGCATGACATAGATTGATAATGTTTTAATAAAAAAATTATTATAAGGTCACGATTTATTCATACATATATATATATATTTTTTTATGCATTTGACACTTTTCGATAAAAAAAAATTATGGTAAGTTGCATCATTTTAATGTCTAATGTCATATTTATACATGCGCATAAAAGCTAGCATAATTATAAGGAAGCTCATTACTTAAAATACATCATAAATAATATCATAAGGTTGCATAGAAAATATAATATGTATGGAATAATTAGAGAATCAAAGAAAATTTAAAACCATCAAATAAATAAATAAATAAAGTTAAAAACTAAGAGCATGTGACAAGAAAAAGGAGGGGGAATAAGATATTGGGCCGACTAGAGATGGGCTTGGGCCTTTCAAACGGGGCCTAGGCGCTCAATGTTTTTTCTTTTTTGTTTTCTCAAACGCTGTTGTTGGGGCGTGGGGGAGGCGGGCACGGTGGTTGTGGCGGTGTGTGTGATGATGAGTTAGACATCAAAAAATCGAGAAAAGCCACCCATGAATCTTCATAAAAACCCCTCATTTTTTAATTGTTTTCTATGAAATAAACATCAAAATTATCCCCCGCAATAAACTCGTTTTCAATTAGAGACGGGGATAGATGGGGTATCCAGCCTATTAATGCAATTGTTAACATTTTCATTAGAAAAATATTATGTTTGTATTCATTAATAAATTACCTTTTAAACTCATATCAGGCATATACTCATTTATCTGTCTACTTAATATCATTATAAATAATTTTATTTTAATCATTGTCTTTTTTTTTAAAAAAAATGTTATTTTGATCTTTAAAGTCAATATCTCTTTCTACAATTTAGTTCTTTATTTATAAGTTTTATGATCATCTATTTTTTTCATAAAAATATTTTGGTCGATATCTTTTGAATTTTATGTAATTAGATCCCTATATTTTTTATTTTTTTTACATAATTAGTATTAATAGGGTATAAAATAGATTTTCATATAAAAAATCATATTAACGGATACATAATTTTTTTTTATCTTTATCCACTTCAATATTTATTAGATATTTTTAATATATATTTATTAAATCAAATAAAACTATTATCATTTCTCTTTTCAATTCTCAAATCCATCTGTATCTACTTTAAGTAGCATAAAAGTAAAATCAAAATTTAAAAACGAATTTGAATCTCCATCTCGATCTATTTTATGGCAATGAAAGGGTTTTTTTGTGGTCACCAATCAACTCCACTCGCCGATGCGGCATCTTTGACATCCTTTTTGGTCGGAAATGTAGCCAGCAATGTCCTAACCATTGACTTTTCTGTCACGCATCCTCTCTCGTCAATTTTTGCCTCTCTCATTACCAATCCAACGAGAGATCAAAATACAACTCATATAAACATTAGAGTCGATTTTTTTTTGAAAAAAAAGCTAAAAGTAGAGTAAATTATCAATTAATCACTCTAGTTTCAAGAAATAAATTAATTAGTTCTCTCGTATTAAAAATTATTATTCAATTCTTTAATTAGTATTGAATATGTTTAATTTAATAATATTTTTATTTCATAAAATCTTTTATTTTTTCATGAATCTTTTCTATACCTTTTTCATATTTATTTTCTATTTTCTATTTCTCAAACAAAAAATTAAAAAGAACAAAAATATTAGATTACAAGTAAATTTCAAAACGAGGGGAACTAATTAATTTATTTTTTAAAATAAGAGGAACTAATTTATAATTTACTCCTAAAAAATGCCGTGACAAATGACTAAAAAACTCATATAATTAACCAAAATGCCATCTTAGTGAATGATATTAAGTGTCTACGTGAACAGTCGATGGAATGAACAATGAACATCTAAATTTTTTAATTTAATTGTTAATTAGCCCAATTACCTATTATTTTCCAAGGCTTATGTTGCCTTCTTACGTTACCATTAAAGTTCCATTAAAAAAAAAAACTTTGATTTAGCTTTTAAGAGTAAATTATGGATTAGTCTCTTTAATTTTGCAAAATGAATTAAATAATTTTTTTAGTTTCAAAAATAATTAATTGATTTCTTTACTAAAACCATATTTAATTTAATATTATTTTTGTTTCAGAAAATATAATAATTTATCATCAATCTTTCTATATTATTTACTTATCTTATTCTCTTTTATATTTTTTAAAATAAAAAAATGAAAAAGAATTTGAAATGGACCATATTGTTCTTTATGGTCATCAAACTATTAATTATTTCAGATAACCCCTTAAGCCAAATGTTAGTAAATTTGATTATTGTATGTGCCATGTTTAGACCCCTTTTTTTTTTATTAATATGAGTTTATATAGAGTCATATATGTGAAGTCTGTATGTTTATTTAAGATTAATTAAGAGCTATTTTAATCATCTTGTAGATACATAGAACTTTTTGAATACTCTAATGAATATTGTGATTTTTTTTCATTTATTTTAAAATAATTATCAATTATTTTTTATTAATATTATTTTCAAAATATATTTCAAATAGGAATTGACATGTGTTAGCATCTATCTGGATAAAAATTAGTCAATTAACACCGTTAGGTCAATTGGATAACAAAATTTGATAGAAAAACTGACGTGTCCCAACTTTTTGAATACAAAATTTGGTTTGCTGCAGAATTAGATAAAGAGGCTCGAATCATAAAAATTAATTGTATAAGGACATAAATTGATTTTCATCCTTTGTTTTTTTTTCCCTGTCTCCTTCATGATTCAACGGTACAATGTTGATGAAAGCTCATGAACATATGTCATGATAAATGAAGAAGAATTATAAGTCAGAATATGTTGGTTTTGCTTATTCCTGAACATCTAATAACTTACAAGAAAAAGACAAACATCTAGGTTTGCCTATATATTGTGTAGGCATTTTTAAATTCAAATTTATCGAGCATCCATTTTAATAGCTCGGATCACATTATATTATCAAAAAAACAACTGATTCTGAATGGTTTAATGGCATGCATATGCATATTTATATATTTTCTTTGAATAGGTTTGTTATAATATATTTTTATGTTATATAAATAAATGTAGTCTTTTGCAAACTAACCCCTCCATCCATGTTACTTAAACATTTTACTGCTGTCCCTATATTTAAAAACATTAAACATTCTTATCTATGTGATATAGTTAAACGATGACTAAATTATAAAATTATGAAATAGCTAAGACTAATAATCATAATTGCACCTAAAATATAATAATTCAATATTACTAATCTAACATGTTTACCTGTGGATGCTTTTATAATGTACAAGATAAATACTATATGATATTGATTGGATAGTAAAGGCCAATAAGTTTGCAACTATAACAAATCCAAAAGAATGAGAGATGGAAAAAAATAAAATAAAAGAACATTTAGTTGGATTAAAAAAAAAAAAAAAGAGAGACAAATCTAACATAAAAAACAAAATTAAAAAAAAATCTTTAATTTACTTTTTTAAAGACGAAGCAAAACTGTTAATTTTTATATTTTCTCATTATTTTTAGCATTTTATTAACTGGGATAATTGTTGTATGATCGCATGATAATTTTTTTTTTATTACATTCATATTATCGTTTATGTAAGATAGTTTTTTGATAATTTACCTATCCATTTAAAATTTAGATATTTTCCGTGTCTAAAATTAAATTAGATTGTTGATTAAAAGAATTGAAAATTACTTGATGCAACACGATGGTCTATCACTGTATGGTAAATCTGTATTATAATCCAAAGAAGAAAAAAAGGCATACAAGTAGTTATTAAGGAATGTTGTTGTTGACAGAGGGGGTTGGGTTATTGTCAATCAACCTCAAGTTCCCAATGGTCTCTAACACTAGAGAAATTATTAGCTAACTCGTATAAAAAATAGAACCTTACGGAAGCGAAATAAAATGTACCGACAGTATCCAATAATGTCTTCCACTGCTATTGCAAACTTCAATTGGGCCTCAGCTAGGAGAATCCTGCTTCTAGACTTCCAGAAACTTTTCCCCATAAATACCGACTACTCACTATAGATTGGGTTTTGGGCCCATGATGGTAAGAGATAAGCCACGTTGTTCCTTTTCAAAATCTGATCAGAAACGAAAGTTTTTTATTTTTTATTTATTTTCTGTAACAGAATGAAACTCTCTTTTGTAAGGATATAAATCTAAGTACTGCATTAACACAACGTAAGACAAATTATTACAGGATGGATAGCCAAGCTTTTGCAACTTTATAGCCAGAGGCCCAACAGAGGAAGGAATATGGTTAGTGAGAAGTGAGAACCCACAAATATGGTAGCATATTCTCCAGACAGATAACAGTTGTCATCTAAAACTTAGGGAACTGAACCTTTGACGCACATTTTCTCTTTGGTACCACTGGACATTCTATGAATTCTGACCCAGAAATGTCTGCGCACATGAAAACCTGATAGATCTGGCTATTCTTGGATGCATCGGTATTGCACTCTATGCCTGGAGTGAATCCAGTTGCTTCTTTTATAGCTTCTTTTATGCTGTCCAAGTCATAAAACTCATCGTCTGGTTTAATTCCTGTAACCATATTTTGAGAGCACAGCCCATTGTTGTTAGAAACACATCTGAGTTAAGGCTTTATTCAGTTCAAGACAAGGAAAAAGGCAGAGTAAATAATTGAGAGTACTACATATATAAACCTGAATTTTTAAGAGCTTGGAGAAGGTTTGCTTTTTCCTTCAGCTTAAGAGCTGCTTCAAAGTAACCGTGCTGGTCAATTTCTTCGGACTCTGCACAGGTCCCGTGCTTTTCCCATTCATGTGACCAGAAGCTGAAGCCGGTGCTGCTGGGGCAGGACAATGACGGCCAATCCTTTTGCAAACTGCTTGTCAAGTCTGAGATCTGAACAGACATCAGCGAAAAATATAACATTTATGATATCGTTTTATTTATTTATTATATTACAAGTACCATGTCTAATAATTTATATTGAAATGCCATCAATTAATTGTTAACGCTTTATCTCATTAACTTTTCATAACCATTTTCAGTGCTATACATAATATGTTTTCAATACATAAACCTTTTGCTTTTGCTTTTGCTTTTTTGGACTTAATTTCTTGTGTGTGATTAATTATATTAGAAAATGGCAAGCACAGGAAAATTTTATAATATAGAAAAAGTAACTAGTGACAAGTAAAATAGTTATTTCTTGAGTCCATTTTGAAGAGAGAGATAGACACATAAAAAAAAAATTACATTCATACCACCAAAAGTGATAAGAAGATTTTCACGTCCGCTCAAATTTTTTTATTTTTTCTCTTTTTATGTGTTTATCTCTCTTCTCAAAGTATATTCAAAAAATAACTACCGTACATATTATCGTTATTCTTTATGTATTATAAAATTTATCAACAAAAACGTATCTTCAAATTATCTTCTATATATATATATATACCATAGTTTTTTTTTTTTTTACTGATAATCCAACCATCAACTAAAAACAGTTTGGTTGCTTCCCACAGACGATACCTAAGATTTTTTGTGCTTTAGGAGAATTCTAAAAGAAGAGAAAATTGTGCTACACGAAATGAATGGAAATGCGACGACGACTGGCGTCGAATTAGTATTTACATTACCCATGCTTTGTGGAAAAGCAGAAGAAACACTTTATTTTATGACATAGTAAGACAAAATTACGCCAGACAATGCAGTGCAATTTTTTTTTCTTTTTACCTTTACATCTTCGTATCTAATTTTTCAATATATCATTCGAAAACAAAAATATTTAATATATTTTTATACTTTGAGATGACTTTTAATCTATCATTTCAATTAAAATTTTTAATTAAATTAAATCAAATTAAGCATGTAATTTACACATGATATACGATTTGATAAAACTATCTTTATTATTTAACACAAGTTATATATATATAAGTTGATCGAAAATTTTAATCAAAGAATATATTGAAGGTGTTTTTTTTTATTAGAAGCAAATTAAAAAATTGATCTATTATATAAAAACATATCAGGTATTAACTTTTTTTTTCCTCAGACGAAGATGATAAAGAATTTTTTTTATTTTTTTTATTTTTTTATTTTTATTTTTTTTATTTTTTTACTGATAATCCAACCATCAACTAAAAACGTTTGGTTGCTTCCCACAGGCCTTACCTCAAGATTTTTTGTGCTTTAGGAGAATTCTAAAAGAAGAGAAAATTGTGGTACACGAAAAGAAAGGAAATGCGACGAAGACTAGTGTCGGATTAGCATTTACATTACCGATGCTTTGCGGAAAAGACCGGAGAAACACTTTATTTTATGACGTAGTAGACAAAGTTATGCCAGATAATGCAGTGCCATTTTTTTTAATACCTTTACATTAGGCTAATTTTTCAATGTGTCATTGAAAAACAAACACATCTAATATATTCTTGTATTTTGAGATGATTTTTAATATATTATTTCAGTTAAAATTTTTAACTAAATCAAATAAAATTAAACATGCAATTTATATATGATATGTAATTTGATAAAATTGTTTTTGTTATTTAACACAAGTGATATATATATATACACACACACACACTCTAATATAAAGATTAATTTTTGAAAATTGATCGAAAATTTTTTATATACACACACATTAACATAAAGATTAATTTTTTAAAATTAATCGAAAATTTTGATCGAAGAATAGATTAAAAACAACCTCAAAATATAAGAACATATTGAAGGTATTTTTTTTATTAGAAACAGATTGAAAAAATTTTCTATTATATAAAGAGACATATCAAGGTATTAACTTTTTTTTCTCCAACGAAGGTGCTAAAGATTAGTTCGTACAAGAGGCGAATTAAAATGTTGGATTAGGAAATTAATTAGTTTGATATCTTCTTTGGTGAACAATGATGAAAACTGGATAGAAACAATTCTGGATTAAGCCTAGTAGATATAAAGTAATAATGTTTTCTTCATTATTACGGGGTGAAATGCATGTGGATATAAGTAGTTATTTCTTGTATTAATGTTTATGCGTGCCATTACTTGATGGATCTTATAACCTCATCATGTTTACCACCTTTCAACCCGCCCAGCACGAAATTTAATTTACAATTTGCATTTTCTATCTCCAGTGATTCTTGTAATAAATATATTGTGATCTTCAAGTTCAAACATGTTAATCTTGCTATCTGTAATAAGACGGAAATTATCATAATTTGAGTACTTACCTGGTCTTCATCCAAAGAACTATCCCGGTTACAGTTTTGTGGGTACGATCCGTCTTTATTCTGAGGCCAAAGTCCGTGGATGCCGAAATCTGCAGCTGGTTTCCCAGTCCTTGGATAGCAACAACTATGTTTTGTGTCACAGTAAGATCCTGGCCACTGCATGAATATGCAAACAGTAGTCAATCAAAATTCAACAATTAAAGCGGTCAATTACTCCCTGAGAAAAGTCTCCAAGGAAAGAAGATTAAGAGAGTCACATATACGAATCACGTTCAAAACAATATCTATGGACCTAGCTAGCTGGCTATATAACTAATGCAGCAAAAATGTTCCCATAGCTAACCTGTTGAACGAAGTAGAAAAAATCAAAATCTTCAGAAACACAAAGAACTGAAAGGTATTGTATTGTCAAAAGCTTGATAAAGATTGAAAAGTTGAGTTTCATCTTTAACAATACGACTTAGGAGTACTTAACAAATTACTCTGATCTGTGGGGTTTCTTTCTAAGATAAGATTTTAGAATGACAATGCAATTTGGGTTTCAGTCTGAAAATATATATAGCCAATCAACGGAATATGAGACAACCACAGAATATGCTTTATTCAATTCTTTAGTTTTTTTAATTACATCTTGCCGTGCTTGATGTTCCACCCACGTTTGTCCTGTGTAATTGGCTTTGCCTGTTCATATATCTTCTCCCATTATCGAGGTCGTTGGAGCTCATAATTAAATGGTGTGGTTAATTACTTCTTTTGTCCACAATTAGCCTTGTGCAAATTAAGTTGGTAAAAAATCATACTAAACCGCAAACTCTGATTAAGTTTATTTATATCCCACTAGATTTCAGTTGAATTAATTTTAAGAATTAAGAATTTCAGTTTGTTTAATTTAAATGCAATGAACTACATAGTGGCGTGATTGATTTTTAAAATTTGGATCTTTTGGCTTTAACAACAACATACACTCTGATCATATGATTAATTACATCATAATCATATCCTCCTCGTATTTATATATGTTCTCTACATGTCAGAATTTCGTTATTAAAAAACGAGTTTGCACTTTATAGGTAGTTTTGAAAGGAACCTAGACCTAACTAGAAAGTTTCCGTGAAGGCTTGAATGTCAATTTTCTCATATTGCATTGCAAGTTGCAAGATGTTCTTAAACCAAAACTGCTTCTTTCAGGAAAGTAGATGAACATCAGCTAATCTTATCAACAACGTGATGCTAGCGTGTGTAGCATTCAGTTGTATCATTCTAATTACTATAATGTTGGTTGTTTAGGATTTGATTCTTTCTTTAAAAAAAATATTATATATCAAGGACCGTGTCGCTTGGATTTTTGCTAATTACCTACTCATTACGTGGAAATCAAACATTTGATAAGTCGCAGTAATGGATCAATCGTGTTAACTAAAAATATTTAAGGATTCGATCTAGATCTAAACAAGGTATTCTGCAGATCATAGACTTAATTAGTCATTTATAAATGTAGTTAAATAAGACTGTAATCTGCCAGTCCAATTCCAAATTTACTTAAAGGGGTCGAAAAGTTCGATCCAATTTTTATACAAGATCAAAAGACATTTTGGCCCGCCATATGGTCGTCAACACATGGCCAAATAGAATTCAACCTTGGATGCTATTTCATTTTCTGATCACAATACAATGTATGCTAATGGAGGAGAAATGATTGGAAGCTATCCTTATTGGGTGAAGATAAAAAATTCTGGTTTACCAAAGCAGTCGCCCCCACCTCTGTTTTTTCTTGGCGTCAAAACTGCAAATTCCGCAATTGCTTTCAGATTGGTAAACTTGCCATCGCGGAATCAGTACACACCTAAACTAACGTAGGACCAAAAAAATTAAAATCACAATTAATAGATATTGATGATAACTAAATACTAATAAAGCAAAGAAAGTAACGTCCACGCCTCACACAAAATTAAAGCCATCTATAGTGTCAGACCCAGCCTACCTGAACTCCAATTATTGACTGAGTTGTTAGTTAGACACATCAGAAGGTTTTATCTTTGCTTGCAAACATGTTATTCGAACACATGAATATATAATGTATGCTTAAAGCAAACAAACATCGGCAGGATAACAGTTTAATGAGATTCAAAGTGGTTATTTTTAGACATCTTCTTGGTGCGTGCATGGCGTGACAAAAGCTACCGCAACGGCACGATATTATTGTTTTCACTTTTGAGTGCTTTTCCTATTGATCTTCAGTAAAACCAAAAATGCAATTATACAACTCAAGATGATTAGTTTGAGCTGAATGAGACTTGGTAATTTAAATAAATGGTATCGAATTCAAATTTTCATACATGTAAAAATTTTTTCGATAACTCTGATCGCTTTGTGCCTTCGATCGAAGAACGAACGATTAGTATAGGTTTTGGGGTTCAAGGTATCCTGGGATAAAAAAAAAAAAAATGAAATGAAATTATACAGTGGTAGTATTGAGAGTTATTAATTATCAGTTGACGTTTAAGGGTTACCGACTGAAACTTCTGTGAATTTAATAAGACTCTGCTTCTCTTGGATCAAGTCTTGCTGGTTCTAGCATCCGGCTCACTTTTATTGTAGAAGTTTGCAAGAGATTGTTTCTGGCAGATAATGTTAATTATCTCTTGATTCTTCCATCATTAAAACTCCCTTTTTATTTGAAATCTCTTGACCTATTCCTTTAAGATAATGTCCTTTCTAGAATTTATTGTCATTTAAATCAATTTCTTATCGTTTACATAAAGTTTTACATAGTCATAGATGTCATTATTAATTAGTTGTGAAAATTTTCAGGAAAATTTTCATTTTTTTGCGTTTATAATGCTGATTATAATATAAAAAAATTTCCAGTTGCTTTCTAATTAGGAATCTGCTCCATCTGCTTCAGAGGCTCGGTTGGAGATCATAGTGCTGAAGACGGGCTAATTGCTGTTGGTGGGCTTTACCCTTTGTTTTTCTTTTACAAACTAGCCTACTAGGTAAAATTTATACAGGTTCCTTTATCCCAAAAAAAAAAAAAAAAAAAAAGCACAAGAATAAAAATTAAAATATTCCTCTACCACAGAAATTAAAGGTTGGCAAATTTATTCAAGATAGACATTAACTTGCTGGGAAAACAAATACAATGGTCAATGAGATGAGGACTGTAATCAACTGACTATTAGCAATAAGATGAAAGGAAGTACATTAATTCAATCTCAGTTACGGATTTAAAAAGTAGGGAACTCAATCTCTGAATCACATTTCCCTTTGGGAAACACTGGACATTCAATGAGATTTTTCCCAGAAGTATCCACACACAAGTAAATCTGGTAAAGTTGGCTGTTCCTCGATGTATCAGTATTGCACTCTATCCATGGAGTAAAGCCTACTGCCTTTTGTATGGCACTCTTAATGCTGCTCAAGCTGTACAATCCCCCATCTGGGTTTATTCCTGTAACATTTGTCCTTCAACCATTAGCTACCATAGTACTAAAGATACTCAAAAAAGAATTTAGGCAAAGTACAGTACAGCTCTAAAAGTGGCGAATCTGAACTTCATAAATTGAAAAGAAAAAAAATGAAGATTTACCTGCAGTTGTTAGAGCCTGAAGGAGGTTCGCTTGCTTTTTCAAATTGAGAGCTGCTTGGAAGTATCCATGTTGGTCAAGATTAGACTCGGAGCATGTCCCGTGCTTTTCCCATTCATGTGTCCAGAAGGTTACTCCACTGCCGCTTGGGCAAGCTAGTGTTGGCCAATTCTTTTGCATACTGCTCCTTAGGTCTGCAACCTGCACAGTGACCAAAGATCAGTTATCAGTGAATTAAACGATATACAAAGAAAGAAAGAATTCAACCGAAACTAAGAGTAAATAATAAACAAATCTTTCTAGTTTCGGAAAAAAAAATTAGTTTTTTTTTGTTACAATAATTTCTACTTTTTATTGTAACAAATCAGATTTAAAATTTTTAAGATTGAATTTAATTTAGAATTTAATTTTTAGCACTTAAAATGATTCCAAGACATGAGATTTCAGTAAAATCTCGTAATTGAATTGGACCTGATGCAAAAAAAAAAAAACATTTTAGACAAATTGGCCAGATGTGTATGTACTTCAAGGTGTTTGTAGGGCTGGGCTTCATGATGAGAAATTTGAGTTGAATTAATGGGCTTGTGCCACTTGAACCCTTTGTTGCCCATTTCTCAAGTTAGGCTTCTGATTGGCCCAGCCCGTTTGGGTAATGAAGCTCTTTCACGGTGAAGGAAGAACAATTCAAAAATTGGAAATCAATCATGAAAGTTCTACAGGGATTACATTGATGATTAGAAAATATAAGGGATGAAACAAAAGTAGAGGAAATCCTATAGGGGTACAGTTATAAAAGGGAACGTAATGGACCGTTGCAGCCTGCAGGAGGTCTCTAACTCTTAAAGTAAAAACGAAAGCCAACAGATGGAAATATCAGTTTTCTTTCAGAGAACGTAATTTTGGTGAAACAGACTCAAAATTTTTATACAAGTAACGGAAAAGTTAAGAAGAAGAAGAAGAAGAAGAAAGGTGGGTTCGTTTTTGTTGAACAAAATAAATTTATGAAATAAAATTTTTAGAACATGCACTATATACAACACGAGAAATTTTATAATACACAAGTAGTAATTAATGGTATTTATATTATTTACTCTTGGGCGCACTTTAAGAAGATAGATAGACATACAAAGAGAGAGAGAGAAAACAAGTAAAGAGAAAATAAAAAAATTTAAGTGGATATTGAAATCTTCTTATCACTTTTGGTGGGTATAGATGTAATTTTTCTCTTTTTTATGTGTCTATCTCTCTTCAAAATGAACCCAAAGAATAACTACTTTACATGTCATTAATTAATTCTTTTATGTTATAAAATCATAACAACAGCTAAGAAATTGACCCCACTAGAGACTTGGCCGTTACAATAAATCAATGATCATTGATTTAACATGTCTATAGTATATATATATATATATATATATATATATATATATAATTGGATTAACGAAATCCATTCAATATATAAAATTGATCTTTTCTTCATTAATTATTACTAAGATTTAGAAAAGAAAAGGAAAAAATTTCAGCCATTGAATTAAAATTTTTAGAAGTCATTCTTGTCCTGTTTCCTACAAAATTCATATTATCTGTAATGGAATTTTTTTTTTTTTTTGATAAAGTAATTAATGTAAAAATACAATGATGATTTTTTTTTTGCCTCCTATATTCCTGTAACATACCATAATTTGCACAGATTAACAGAAGGTGCTCGGAATTTTACAGCCCATTTTGAAGCGGAAAAAAAATCTTCAAGTTATTCTTCTCCAATAGAAGGACAAAAGTGTGACAACTTTGGGACGATGATTTCAAAGGCAACAACTCAAAATCATGGAATGCAAAGTACCTCTTTTGGATCGAAGGGTTTATTAGCATCGCAGTTTTGTGGGTAGGTCCCATCATTGTAATTAGGCCAAAGTCCATGAATACCAAAATCAGCTGCAGGTTTTCCAGTGGTTGGATAGCAACAACTTTGCTTCGAGTCACAGTATGATCCTGGCCACTGCAATATACATCACGACAGTAACAATCAACGAAGAGCTAAAACAAAAAAAAAAAAGGCCAGAGACAAGTACGTAGTTTATAAGAAGTAACCTGTTGAACAAAGTAGAAGAAATCAAAATCCTGTGAAACAGAGAGGACTGATAGGCACAAGAGTACCAAAAGCTTAATCAAGATAGAAATGTTGGCCTTCATCTTTCTTTTGCCTCGCTCAATCTTGTGAAATGGGTTTCTACGTAGTTTCAAGGGTTTTAAAAGGTGATATGTGATAGTGCAATATTACGAGGATGGTAATGAAGTGAATTTATAGGGCAATAAGGAAAGCTTGCATTCAGAGTATCTAGTACAGGATATGCTTTCCAACCTTACCAATCAATTCATGGCAGTATTTTCGTGTGAACATTTCCTGAATAAATTCATATACATGTCGACTGCCCCATCTAACTATTGTCCTGTTATCTGTCTACAATTATTTGTGAAAGCTGACCCTATTCTTAAATTCATCGCAACTATTATTGACCTCTTATTTGTTTCTCGTCATCCGGTCAGGTTCACTTTCAATTTCTAGTGTGCAAACTTTTTGGTGGCTAAACATTTAATGGTATGCATATCTGTTATTCAGATTTATGTATTTATGAATTGGTATGAGTTTTTATAAAATGAATCCCATTATGGAATACCCTGCTAAATTTGAATAAAAAAATATAGCAAAATCTTTGATATAGCGGGAAATCAAATTAAGGAAGATTATGTCCACATTTGGCTCCATTATATTATAGAAAAAAAAAAAAAAAAGAGTAGTATCTGTCCTTCCGTGGATTGAATTTAAATAATTAATTAAAGAAATAACACCATCAATCTCATCAAATTTATATATAAAAAAATTTATAGGGCTAAATAGAGTCCAATAAATGTAATTAAGATATTGCATATGTCAGTTTCAATGTGAATGCAGGTTTAAATCAACAAAAATAAATAAATAATAATAATAATAATAATAATTTATAAATGAAAAGCTTATGATGTGATTGTTTGTTTAAAATTTAATTAGAAAATATTTAATTTTGGTATACATAAAATCTGACTTCAAGGAATTGGCCTTCTTGTTAAAAATATATTTTTTTTCATGCTTTTATCGATTCAAATCATATGGTCAGATTTTAAAATCATTTAGAAAAAAATATAATTTTAATTGACATGTAAACTGTCTCTCACATACTTTTGCAGTTGAAAGAAGAAGTATGAACAAAATATGACAAATAAAAACCCTCATTATTTGTTGGAAGAAAAAAAAAAGTGGATATCATAGGTTGGCGCACACAGCACAGCGTGTAAGTCAATGTGTTAGTTTTAGCGTGACCCCGACATGGTTCAATATATTGTATGGCCGGCTGTTTGCTGCTTAGCAAGAGAATTCCATTTTTTCTCCCTTAGCTTCGCCATGGGAAAGTCATCCTGTACACATCATGGACACTTCAAAATTATGGGACAACATTTTATTCTATGGATATGATTCCTTCTCCTTCCATTTATAATTGCTTATCACATTTTTATTTGTTTTGAAGATCGAAATGGTCCCCGTTGGGATAATTGAGTTACTTCGAAAATTCGAAGAGTGCAAGAAACCATGTAATCTAGAAAAGCAAGGGATGCACGGCTCTCATGGTCCACCGCATTTTGAGGAGTGTTTAGAAGATAATTGAAGTACTAGTACTTTTCATGATTAGTACAGAAAATAAACATTACAACTACAAAAATAATGATGTATTGATCAATTGCCTGCTGCTGTGCATCCATGTTTCGGAATATACAACGATGTGCCTGATGAGAACTTACAAAGATTGCCAATTGGAACCAACCCTGCTACTATTGATTCTTTACATGTGCAACGAAAGATTTCAAGAACTTACATATGTTGAATGAATGGAGCTGTTAGAAGCAATTACAGTACCAGCTACAAAGCCCTCTAATCATAGCAGAGAGAAACATTTGTTGAGAGACAGGAACCAATGCAGATGACTCGATCAATTGAGGAGGAATTTCAATTAAGCAGACTATACTACCAGTAATCCCCACAAGAGCATTTCCCGTCTTTGAAATGATGAAATCGCTGGACATCTCTAAGGATTATTTCCCTATCAAAGATTGATGATACAAGTTTAGCGGCAGAATGGCAATCCCCACAAACTCGAAGATTCTTCACCACACGGATTGTTGTCCCTGGGGGGTGTTGAGGAGTCCAAAAGCAATGGCCAATTTCTCACTATGATATCTAAGAGTGATTTCCTTCTCTTCATCTTCCATGTTAGGATGAACGACTAGAGAAGTATCTGGTACATATCCAGCTAATTTTAATTCCTTAACCAACTCATCCATAGCTCGATGTAAGGCTGTAGAAATGTAATGCACGCCATCCCCAGAGAAGAACTCATGCACCACATTGTCTACCTCTATGGAGCTGCACCCAGGAACCTTTACTGCACCTTTATGAATCATCCGTTTTCTTAAAGCATCCACATCTTCCCATTTGCCAGCTCTAGCACACAAGTTCGATAAAATCACATAATCTCCACCATGAGAGTCATCAAGTTCAAAAATCTGCTCCATCACTTGCTTCGCCAATTCTAGATTGCCATGGCTAGTACATGCAGATAACAAGGTTCGCCACAGTATAGGTGTGGGCTTGATTGGCAACTCATCTATGAACTTATAAGCTTCATCTAAGCGTCCAGCTCGACCTAATAAATCCACCATACACCCGTAATGTTTGATCCCAGGAATGATTCCATACACATCACTCATGCTATAGAAATACCGAAAACCTTCATCCACCAATCCAGTGTGACTACAAGCGTACAATAGGCCCAAAAATGTAATCTCATCAGGCTGCACTTTTGTGCTCATCATTTCTTCAAACATAGATATCGCCTTTTGACCCTGGCCATGCGTTGCATATGCCACAACCATCGCAGACCAAGCCTGCGTATCTCTAACACTCATGCTCTCAAAGACAGAAATGGCATCATCCAAGCTTCCACATTTGGCATACATATCTATAAGTGCCGTATTCACCTTAACATATTTACCTAATCCGTTCTTCTTAACATATTCATGAATCCACTTCCCTAAGTCTAATGCACCTAACAACGCACACGACGATAAAACACTGAGCATGGTAACATCATTAGGCTTAAGTTTCCTCGCCTGCAATTGGCGAAACAAAGACAGTGCCTCATTAGGCCTACTGCTTCTAGCATAGCCTGTTATAATAGCATTATATGAAACAACACACGGTTCTAATATCTTATCAAACACTCTCCGAGCCCCATCCACATCATTACACCCAGTGTACATATTTATAAGTGTAGGGCAGACAAAAGTATTCTCATTTAGCCCAAGTTTGACAGCAAGGCAATGCAATTGTTTACCTTGTTGTAAGGCTTTAGCGACCGCACACGCTTTAAGTAAAGATGGGAAAGTGTAGTCGTCCGGCAAAATATTTTCATTTAAAGCTTTGATAAAGAGATAAATGGCTCTGAGAGGGGCATTGGACCGCGAATAGCCGCGAAAAATGGAGTTAAAGAGGACAATGTCTGGTTGGGGAATTGTTTCAAACAGTTGGTGTGCGTAGTCCATGGCCGAGGTGTTAGGCTTTTGCGTGCAAAAGTTGATAAGCTTGGTGAGAATTTGGAGGTCATTTTGGAGGTGGGTTTTGATTGTAAAGGCTTGAATTTGCTTGAGTTCTTTAAGAGAGGAGCATTTGGGTAAGCTAGAAAGAGGGCTTGATAGATGTGTGGTGTTGTCATAAGCACTGTATCGTGAGGGAGACTGTTGGATTACTGCTGGAAATGGGGTTGCTGCCATTTTTATTGAAAGTGATTGGAATTGAATCGAATCGAATGTTTTTAGGCTGTGGAGGGAATGGAAAGATAAGATTTTTTATTTAATTTCAACAGGAAAAACGGTTTGTCGCTGTATTTTGGTGGAGCTGAGGTGGATCCAGGAACATAGGTTAAAATTTATAATTTTAATCAGCCTTCAGACTACAAGTTATTACAATTTTACCACTTAACTATCACTGGTCTGTCAAATAATTGCCCCGTCTCCTCCAAGTTGCTCTTAATTGTTGACTTAAGACTGATACAACCTTTTTTTCCTTTTCATTTGAAGTAAGCACCTGCACTTAAACATTAAAGTTTATTGACAACTCTTTGAACAAAAATATGTATATGAAAAAAAGGAAAAAAAAGATAGAATAAAGAGATTTAGTTCTCGTTTGATAGTGAGTGTGATTGAGACGGACTTTTATTACAACTGTAATACCACAAGCATTTTGGTAAAGAAATCAAGCTTTCTCACCGAGCAAATCATAAATTAGTCCATCGTGTTTAGAAAAAAAAAACAAATTAACTAGTTTGGTTTCTTTTTTTAAAATTAATCATTTAGTCTTTTATGTTTTAATTTTGTTAGTAATTTAGTTTTTTCAATATTTTTTTAGATTAGTGGTTTTTATTCTTAAATTATTTTTTTCTTAATTTTTTGTTGAAAAGGAAGAAAAAATAGATGAAAGAGACAGATGAAACGTCAAAAGAATGATAATTTAAAAAAAATTAATTTAATAAAAAAATTGATGAAAAAATAGTTAATAACACAGTTAAAATATAAGGTATTAAATGTTTAATTTTTAAAACGAGAATAACTGATTAATTCGTTTTTCTAAAACGAAAGGGACTAATTTATAATTGACTCTCCTCGCCGTGAATTGAACAGGGAAAAAAAATATTAAACCCCATCTTCTTTTACTGAAGTAGAATGTATTTATAACAAGTTTTATGCAATGCATGCCTTTTTCATTTAAAAAAAATATAATTATTGTTACAAATGTTTTTTATTATTATTATTATAATAATTGCATGCAATGCCTGATGTTCTTTTCTCCTTTATTAAACTAACTTTTCATTTTTCATGGTATGTCATTCTCATTGCGTGATTTAATAAAGAAAAAGGTAATAACGATCAAATTTGAATTCACATACGTTTAATCTTCAAAACTCTAAAACCAATATTGAGTGCTAATGGATCTTTTTAGTCTTAAAAACTAGTTTAAAAATGAAATTTTGTCTCGCATTTATAATCAAATATCCGATTTTTTACATAATTAATGTGAAATAACCAATAATTTCTTTATTTACACATCATGTTCTAAATTGTTTATTTCTCATCAACTTACTGTAGTATCGGTATATGAAAAGCTATTTAACCTAAACTCTTATATCTTATCAAAACATTATTTTAACCAAAGAACTTAAATTATTATGTAAAGTTCTAAAAATAAATTTATATTATTCTATAATAAAAATTATAATCGCTATAAAAACCAACAACATCATCAAACTAAGCATAATGGACGAAAGCATTGCAAAAGAAAGGATGATAGAGGAAAAGAAATATACTTTTGGCAAATTGATGAAAGATAGAGGCAACGATAAGGATCATGCGAAATAAACACTACTTTTTTCTAAACTTTAACTCGTTCATTTATTAATCTTTTGAATTTTAATTTCAAATATAACATTTTTTAACTATATTTCATTTCAAATAAAGTTCTTCCATTAGTTTTTATATGGTTTCATCCATGAGATATAATTTTTTTTTCTTGATGCATATGTGACTTTCAAGTGCATCAATTTGTTATCCAATAGATGGAATTCTAAAAAACTAACAAAGAAGTTGATTTTAAATTAAATCTAACTCACAACACTTTTTTTTTTAAAAAAAAAACAATCATAAGACTTTATTCAGACTCATTGATTCATAGCTTTTTTCCTCTCTTATACAATCTAGAATGGGTGTTGGGAACAAGAGGAGGCAAAAACCCAACCAACTTAATTCATTGTCCTCCCTAATCTGGATGGTAAAATTAAAAAAAAATTATAATAATCAAAGAGTAATTAATGTAAATTACTTTATAAATAGATAGATAAAAAAAAAAAAAACAACAGAGAGAAAATTAGAAAAAAATTAAATCCACACATAAGTCTTCTTATTATTTTTTGTGAGTTTAGATATGATTCATTCTTTTTTGTTTTTTTATGTGTCTATTTCTTTTCTCAAAAGTGGGCCTATAGAATAACTATGATATAAATACATTAGTTACTCCTTAATTATTATAAAATTTCACTTAAAATTGAGATAACTTATAGTTTAGGGACCGATTTGAAATGCATATCTTAGCTGGAGTAGATGCCCAACAGCGCGGTGTTTCTTTTTGCCCTTTTGGAAGAGAAATTTTTAGAGAACAGCAAATGTCAACGTGGCAACCTGCAAAATGACAAGTGGCATAAGCACATCCCTTCATCATCGTTATTATTATTATTTTTTATATATGATGCTATCTATCATTAATTTCAATATGCAACAATATAAGTACCTTTTGGGTAGCTTAATATCCCTCACCTTGGATTAGAAAATTCAGATTCCTCGGATACGCCGTTTAGGGTTTTTGTTTGACAGATATTTTTTGTGTCCTCATATTGTCTCTTTCATACCCTTCCTGTTCTCCACTTTTATTAGAAAAAATAAAAATTCTGGTAAGCCCCACAATCTTACTCCATTTATTTTGCAACGTTAAAATATATTTTCTGTTACTTATGTTCCCACATGTTCTGTTTAATGCTAACCTCATTTTATTTATTCGTGCAAATTACTAACGGAATAGTATTGGTGTTATTAAATTTTTAAGCTTTTGTCTTTGTTTATTAAAATCTTGACAATGCTTATTTACTCCTCCAAACCCTGAAACCTTGAAATTGAAACAGATTGGGAATGCAGTATGATTGAAAATCTTAACATGGTGTTAATGTTCTTGTGTTTTATGAACTGGGTTCGGGTCATGAGTGCATCTAAAATAAACCCAAAAGTGATAGTGGAGTTTCAGTTTATGGAGATCGTTTCTCTTTTGCATATTCTTTTACGGGTTTTGATTTTATTTTTTTTTCACGCATTTGGGTTTTATAATTAATAATTTATCAAGGTCTTCATATGGGAAATCTATATGATTCCTATTTGAAATTTTTGTTTTGGGCCTCGACAGAGAAATGAATTTTATATGAAATGGGTGCTAATGGGGTGCTTGAGTTTTATGCATTTTAATTTTTTTTGCACACAACTCTGTCGTATTTGTTTTGCTCATGTTTCATGATGCTGGAAAGCAGATGGTGATTGCCGACTAGAAAGCTCGAAGCATTTGAAAATGACAATCAAACAGAGGCAACATAGTCAAAGCATTTCAAAACAGAAGAAAGCTTTGGTTTTTTATGAAAAGAATGAAATTTTGGGTGAAGCTGCAGAGGCAAAGTCACTTCAGATGTCAGATGTGCAGCAGAATTTGTGGAAGACCCTGCGGAATGCTGCTGCGCATCAGCAGTATGTAGATAAGCATAGCCAATTAATTGAACAATCTAGACAGGGAAGAAAAATGGAGGACAAAGGAACATGCCTGAGTGAAGATGGGCTAATAGACAAGGAGCAACTGAATGAGGAAAGTGCAGTTGATCATCTGTTGATTCTCGCACATTCTGCGGAACTAATGCTGGAATCTGAGGAAAGCTTCGATCGATTGCGAGCAATTGATCAAAGGCATGAAGGTAAGTGCATTAATTTGTGAAGTTTGTTTGGTTATTTCAAATTCGTTGAGTATTCCACTGATGCTATGTTGATAGTTATTTATGTGATCAGGGTTGCATATTAGTCCAATGGCTCAACATTCACTAGAAAATCTCAGTGATGCTACAGTAACTGGTCAGCGTTATTTTCAATTTCTATATTTTCTGCCTTTTCCTTCAATGTTTAAGTAGCATCCCTTTTCAGATCAGAAATATCTTGGGAAACAAATTGACGTGATGCCTGTAACAGATCATGTACAAAATGAAGAGAATGAATTCCAATGTGAAGGTAAAACTCTCCGTTTAAGTCAAATTCGACGTCTAGCTCGATCAAAAAGTAATATATTCGCCCAGCGAAGTATTGGGGATTCTGCAACTGGGCAATTGCAAGGAAGAACACGGCTGACTCAAATTCGACATCAAGCTCGGTCCAAAATCCTTTCACAAGTACAAGAAGGGACAGAAAAAAAATCAAGTGTGGATCTACAGAAAAGAATTGTCCGTTTGACCCATATGCGTCGCCTGGCTCGATATAAAGGCAATTCAGTAGTTCAAGAAGAACTTCAGGACAGCAGGCATGGGCATTCAGATTGTCAAACCTCTGAAGGTAAATTTACTTGCAAGCGATACAAAGAATATACTGGAAAGGTGTGTTTGTACAAAAGTGTATTTCTGTTTTTCATTGCAAGCTGCTATATATACATGATCCCTAATTGTAGGCAGTCTCGAATGAACTGCTTTTGTCATTCACTTCGGACTTTTACAATCTATCCTAGAGTTGGATATGTACCCATTTGTCTGAATATTTTGGTATCATGATGATACATAAATTTAACGTTCTCTTTGGCATTTCTACCAGATACTGTCCTAAGGGTCAGGACCATTGCAGCTATGTTTGGAAAAGAAGACAGCTTCCAAGTGGGTGAGTCTTTACTTTCTGGTCATGATGTGATGGTCGTATTTACTCTTCAGAGTTTCTGAACTTTTTTGGTCATTTTTTCTTTATTTTTTTGTCTTAATGCATTTGCTTCTAAGAGAACTGCACTTTTGAATCATCGCAGGTCAAAAGTTCCAATTAGGCAAAAATGAGTGCAATAACAGTACATACAGAGAAGTTGTCTGAGGTGTGTTGGTTCATGCCAGAGGCTTGTCATTTTGAAGCACAGGTTGGGTTTTATCATCACATCTTTAAGAGCTGTTTCATCATTATAGTACTTGAGAAGTTTTATATTTTGTTTTTTCTAACATGTGCCCTAATTGATGTATCTGGAAAATTTCACTTCTATAATTAAATTGATTTATTGCCATAATTGTGTAAAAATCACGTCCTAGTATGGAAATGATATTGTTCCGATTATATCAATTAAAGTGAAATTAAATTATTCCAATTATATCAGTTAACGTGTGCTCTTAGGACACATGTTAGAAATACTCTTTAGTAGCCACTTTCTAGAGATGATATTACCGTTTCTATCTGTTATTTTTATAGGATACTGCCTAAAACATTTTATTATGTATTCCCTGAAGTTAGACATTACTAGCAGTGTAATGTTGTTTATATGGAAAAGAAAACATTTAGGCTATCCTCTACTTCGAACTTTGTGGATAGCTAGTGCTTGAGGGTTGGAATAGGCATATATACGATATTCCAAGTTAACTTGAAAATCGAACTATTGACATTTTGCGAATTGATTTGTTTATGCTTTCATGTTGTTAATATCTGCATGATTTGAATGCAGGTTAACTCAATACAATCATCAAACTGCATGACTGTTAAAGACTGAGAAAGGCGAAAAGCCACACTCTCGTGTGGCACATTCTCAAGCAATGAAGGAGAAGCTAAAAGCGTCTACACCCTACATGGAGTCTTTTGATTTACCATGTAGTAGATTCTTAAACACAGATATTGTAGATAAGTTTGAGTTCAGGATAGCAGTATGTAATAGCAAATTTTTTTTTTTCTTTTAAATGGATTTGGCAGGATAATTATTTATCTCCATATACCTGTAGCTTCACCATCAATGTAATACAGGGCAGCATTTATCTGCAAAATGAATTTGATCTTTCCAATTGCCTAACGCCAGCATTCACACCATTTGGTCTATTTTTGACTTTACAACTTTCTGACTAGTATGTGGGTTGGTGGTGTGAATTATCTCCGCTTAATTGCCTCATTGATTATCAATGGGGAACAAGGATCTGGTTTTAGATGCGTACCTTGAAGAGGAAATATTATGACTAAAGGCAGAGTATTGTATAGTTCTATATTCTGCTCTGCCAGAGTTTTCAGCCCTGTATTGCATTGCATTCGACTTGCAAGATCTTCCTAAAGGGCACAAGCTGCTCTTGCAAATTAACTGCATTACTGCTGTCAATCTTATTGTCAGTAAGCTTAAATGCACCGTCTTTTATTTTTAAAGATGTTTTACAATTTGTTTGGTGGACGCATATGTACCTATTATACACACAAAAGACCCGATCATCAATATTCCCACAATTAACACCAACTCTATTCCAAAACTTCGAGCAGATTTGTCAATCTTAAGGCAGCACAAGCAGGGCAACAACATGGAGACAGAGACACCCAAAAACGCACCAATAAAAGCCATCACGTATCCAAAAAAGGGAATTGTGAGTGCCACAACTACAGTACTGATCACGATCACTGTTCTGATGAGGATGCTGAGATATCTGCTGTTGCGGAAAACCAATGTGTCCTCAATAGCTGTAGCAATTGGAGCAGTAATAATCGCATATTTGGTCAGGGGATTGACTAGAGTGGTATATATTGCTATTTTTGAACCAATTTTTCTGATTGGAAGGTTTAAGGTCACTTGAGACTTCAGATCCTCTCCATACATGAGGTAGCCTAGAACTGCCATTGAACCATAAGTGATGGTACTTATAACAAAACAGATAAGCAAAACCTGCAAAGGAGAGAATACAGTAAAGAAAAGGTCAGAACCACACCATACTCTTATAAATTTGAACCCAAAAGATATCACTAGCATAGTTGCATTACCAGAAAGCCAAATATAAGAAGATCCTGTTTTTACATAGCTTCCTACCTTAGAGAATTGGCTTCTGTCTTTCATGGAATTGCACAATGTGGGAAAAACTGCATGGCCACAGTAACAAAAGGTGAACAAGCTTAAAGTAGTAGGCAATCCTTCCCAATTCAAAAGCACACCATTTTCATGGAACCCCACACCATCAACTGCTCCAACCCACAAAACGCAACCAACCAAAAGTACAGAAGCCATAACCCCACCAGCAGAAACATAGGCCAGCATGCCTAGACTCTTTAACCATGTCGTTGGTAGGATTACAAGGGCAGTGAGCAGAACAAAGGCTGTTTTACCTCCAATGTATAGTCCAGCAAATTTGAAACCTGTGTTTGGAAACAACTTGTCTAAATTGTCACCTTCTAGTATCAGAAATTCAACAGCTACTAAGTACAGCTCCAGATACATGAAGATGGATACTACAGCTCGTCCTTTGTATCCGAAAGCTCGCTCTCCTATATCAGGATAACTTCTGATGAGTGGGTCTGAATCCATACAACGTCTTAGAAGTAATCCTGTATACCAACATAGAACTGCCACTAGAAAAAGCAGTACTAAGCTCAGCCACCCCCCTAGAGAAAGCGCATAGGGAATCGAGAGTATCCCTACACCTGCAAAAACAGGACAGTAATTAATTGTATCATTCTTAATATCACCAAGAAGCACTGTCCTGTTTACTTCTACAAATTCTATGGTTGGCTGGTAACTAATATAATTCCTTTTCTTTTCTTCATATCCTAAAAGGATAAAAGCAAACGATTGGACCAAAACCATGTATGGAAGAATGCTTAAAATGTGAGGAAGAGAATAGTGGTCCAAAAATTACCATGACTTCGAAAATGATTGTTTTTGAATTCCCTAAAAAAGAACAGACGAATGTAACAAAGAAAGCACAAGTAATATGTTGCTATGTAATAAATATATAGGAAAGTTTCCTGCCTTCATGTCTTTAAATTGGTCTAGCTACAGCTAAGAGAGGGAAAGAGGGAAAGAAATCTGATACCTGATAAAGCATTGAGTCCATTAAAACAAGTTCTAAGGAAGGTGGTGCCCTTGTGTGTCTCTTGATTTTGTGGGAGCTGGTTTTGCGTCTCCACTTCCTCAGCTTTTAGGCACTCCATCTTTTGCTGTCCACTACTCAAAATATTGGCACATATTTATACATGAAGTGGAAGTTACTTGTGTTATTAATCAGTGACATAGTATCCTTTTTCATTATTAAATACTAATCAAATTACTTGGTTTAGAATACGAGAAAGTGAGGATGAGTAGATAGTCATTCTCTCTGTGGCATTTTCTGACAATTACTATTCATCGTCCAAAAGCAAGACCACTCATACGTCGCCAGCCACTGTGCCTCCTCTTTACGGTTTCTGACTCTCTTCAGAAAATGGAGACATGAGTCTTTATGCTTTCTACTCATTCATTTTACATGCATAACAACTTGTCTTGTGAGAACATTGCTGCTATAATAATTTTCAAGGTAATTAGAATAGCAGCAAAGATTGTGAAGTGATCTGTTGTAGCAGCAAACATTTAGTTGTGGAGTCCAGCCAAATTATATTGCTTAGCTTTTGTAAAACAATACAAGATAATGCCCTATATAAAAGGACTCTCAATCGAAGAAAAAAAAAAGGAAAAAATAAAATAGAAGGACAGGAAAAGAAGAAAAGAAGGATGATTCCACCTAAAGTTTAAAAGAACTAAAAGAAAAATAGAGCACCAACTAATAAATTAACCCTTCACTCTCAAAACTTTTTGGGTCTTAATTGTTATCTTGCTTAAGTTTCATATGTTCTAATACTCCATTAATTATTAGCAAGTAACTTTTAGAAACACAGATTCTTTTATATGCGTTCTTGCTACTTTTGCCCCTTCTAGCTTTGTTTCCTATCTGATATTGGAAAAACAAAAAAAATTTTAATTTCATGCAGCAAGTTCTTAAAAGAGAGGAAAAATAAAAATCATATATATATATATATATCACGTAAAACATTGATAGGAAAGATCCGTTGGGATCTAATTAAGAAGATAAAAGAAAAATATATTGGCCCAAGAAATTAACAAGAACAGCAAAGTTTTCATTACCATTTGCTTCTCCATCTTTTGATGATGCGGGAAGATTCAAACATACACTTGTAATCGAGAAATTTTATAGTACTAATAATTAATAATATTTATTTCATAAGAAAATAATAGACTAAAATTAAGAGACATGGAAGATAGAAAATTTAAAAAATAATAATTTTAAGTGAAAATATTCTTATCATTTTTTATAAGGTTTTGCTCATATCGAGACAATGTATAAGTCAGATTTTTTTGATTGAGATCTTAAATTTTTTTTTTTTTTGTTCAATTTAAGATTCTAACTAATAACAGTTTGCCATGTGTCATGGTGAGCTCAAATTGAGTTTAACGAAAATAAAAAATTCTTACATCGCAAGCTACCATTGGCTAGAGTTTGGTGCATGTGCTTACATGATATATTAGGATTTAAAACAACATAAGAATATAATTCTTAAATTAGACAAAAAATAATATTTAATATCTCAATAAAAAAATTCAAATTATACAGAATCCAATATGTGTAAAATCCATTTTTTATAGGTCTGAATGCTATTTATTTCCTCTTTCGTGTCTTTTTTTTTTTTTTCTCAAAACGAATTTATAAAGTAAATATGATAGGAACTCAATCAACAATCAATAAAATTATCTATACTAATTAAGTAAGACTAAGACCTTCTTTTTTTTGTGACAGGTTCTAGGTCCCATCCAACATTTTAAAATTTCTCCCTTGACCATAACCTTAAGCCCCTCACCACAAAGACTAATATCTCATTACCATTACAGGAGAGAAAGAAAAAGATAACTAGGCATTTTTTTTTATTTCTTTCAATGACAAGCAATGCCAATGTTTGTTAGAATATATATCATATTAAATAATTAAATAAAAAATAAGTTATATATAAAGTTGAGAAGTAACATCCACTACAAAATTTAAGTTTTTTAAATAAAATCCATCTTAACTTTATATAGTAACAAAATCTTAAAGAAGTCTAATGATTCAATAAAAATTCTAAAATTCAAGTCACTTAAAACATTTTAACAAAAAAAAAAACTTCTTAAAATAAGTGATATATAAAGTTGAGATGAGATTACCCATCATAAAAATTTAAATTTTTTAAATAAAATTCAACCTCAATTACCTGAATTTATAATGCATGATACTGTTTACAGCATTTGTGGATTTAAATTGCTATCCGCATGAGAACCCACTCTCTACGAATCGCCACTGTCAAACAGGTTCAGCAACGCGTGAAGAAGAGCATTGATAGACACTGTGAGGTTGTGGATTTTTTCTTTTCTTCTCTTTTTTCTTACTAGTAGGCTGCATGGATTTTAAACTACTCAAAACAAGAAACGTGTTTAATGTAAAAAAACACTCAATTGGTTTAGATAAAAAAGTGAAAAAGAGCAACCAATGCTCATCAGCAGTATCTGTCAAACCTTTGAAATTATTGCAGGCGGATAAAAAAAAGAAAAAAATATATATATATATCACTAGAACTCCTTGATAGATCCCATCGTACTTTTTTAAAGCCAATTATTAGCCATTAATGCAGCTGAATCAAATGAGCCATAACAGGGACATGACAATTTGGCTTTAACAAAGTACACCTCCAAATAAATATGGCTGTGTCATCAGCTTTATTAAATTAATTCAACCGGAAAGACGTTGTAAAAGGGACCCTACTAATTCTAAAGCTTCTTTTACGTAATAAAGATCGCGATCCTCCTGTACGACTGAAGAAAGAAAAGTAAATAAATCGCATTATTGGAGGTCTAGTCTATATCAGTGCACTAAAAGAGTTGGAGGAATGGAACCTATCAGAGTTAGCTACTGAGGATCACAAGAAGCACACTGCTATTGCAGAGTTTGTGACCGCAGGACTTATGCTTATATCACGTTTCACGTAAAGGTTAACCACGTGGATGCCAGCTCTCCATAACAGATAAGTTAGTCACGTGAGTGCTAGCTCATTCAACAACAATTTGTTATTAATTATTTAATGATTGTTAAGAGTTAATCTGAGTATGTTAGTCAGTAGTTAACTTAACCTTCGATAGATAGCATATATAAATGGGTGTGTTCTGCAGCTAAGTGTGTGTGAGAAAGAGAAAAATCATATTTTTTAATTATGAGTGCCTTGAATCAATCTCGATTGTAATTGTTTTTCTCTTGTAGAATAAAGAAAGTAGCCTATTTGTTTCATGGTATCGTAGCCGGTTAGCTCAAATTAGGTTTTTACGATACTCTTTTTGATTCAACTCGTTTTCCTTTGAGTTTCAAGCTTAGTCGGTGCATCAATAGCGTCGGTTGCTTCAATGATTTCCACGAAGATCCTCGGTCACCCTTCTATCTTCATCATACCGATAATCACAATACTATGATTGTTTCGCCTTAACTTACCTCTAATAATTACGCCACTTGGAGTCGATCATTCTTGCCGGCTCGTCGATTCGTAACAAGATCGGCTTCATTGATGGTTCAATCATTGCTCTTGACGAGAGATGATGTGTTGTTTGGATAATGGTTAAGATGCAACAATCCGATTATTTCTTGGTCGTTTAGATCAATTTCTCCACCGATTGCAGCCTACTATCTTCTATATGGATTCAACATCGGAGATATGGTGAGTGCTAAAGAAACGTTTTTCACAAGTGGATGACTCCAAGGTATGCAATCTACAACACACTCGAGTTCAATTAGTCGGGAAAATCATAGCATTGATGAATATTTTACCGAGTTGAACTTTGTCCGGGAAGAATTAAGGAACTATAGACCAATGCCACATTATGAGTGTAGTAAATGCAATGTAGAATGCTTCAAGAAATATATAGATTTGCATCGGAAGGATTGTGTGTTTCATTTTTTGAATGGACTCAATGAGTCATATGTACCCTCGCGGTCTCATGTTATCATGATGAAACCATTTCCTTCTCCGGATGAGGTATATAACTTGGTGATCGAGAAGAATCTCGAAACGTATGCATGTTCAAGCAAGCCCCTTCTATGAAAGCCTATGCTATGGCAAGCTAGGGGCATTTTGTAATATCGATCTAGAAATACACTTGTTTTGTTCACATCGTGGGAAGCCGAGTCACACTAAAGACGAGTGTTTTCGGTTGATTGGATTTTCAAATAATCCAAGGTCTAGAAGAGGAAGAATGGCCTCGACCTACTATCGGATCGGACTTTTCTGTAGGGAAAGCTATTTACTCGGAGCCAATTCTATTGTTAAGCGGAATGATGAAGGTGTATCCTCCTCTCGCTAACAAAACAGAATTCCACTATAATACTTCACTCGGATGGTGTAGACAAAGGAACAATATTACGAGCTTTGTTTACTCAACATCAAATTCAGCATTTGGTAGCTCTCCTTAATAAGCATAATTCTTCAACTAATAACTCTTCTCATGTTCCCAACAATGCGAGTATTAGTCTCTTACACTTTTCATGTATATAAATGACACGTTCGTCACACATTCCTTAAATAAGCATCTCCGGATCATTGATACGAGTGCATCGAATCATATAGCATGTAGCCTAAGTTTTTTTAATTCTTTTCATACTATTAATCAAACCTTTGTGATAATGCCGGATGGATCTAAAGTGCTTGCTACCCATTTTGGTACAGTTGTCCTTATCTCATTCGTTTGTCTTCTCTAATGTTCTATTTGTTCCCTCTTTTAAATTTAACTCGGTTTCGTCGATCAACTGACATCCACCAAAGAAATTATTGTTAATTTCAGTAATTATTCTTGCTTCATTCGAGCGGTTCCTTCATAGAAAGTGATTGGACTTGCTAAGGCCAATGGTGGTCTTTACTTACCGCAACGAACCTACTCGCTTCTCATCGGTCTCCTTCAACCAATAGTCAAGTTTCATGTTCCAATCCTCATTCGCTCTTCGCAAATAATGTCGATCCCGTACTCAATGTCGGAGATTGCTTTGATCTTTGGCATTTTAGGTGAGGACACCTATCATCCGAAAAACTAAAAATCATTCATTAACATTGTAATGAAGTTCACTCGTTTCCAACTCAAATAAAGTTCCTTG